ATCTTCAGGACTGATTCTCTTTAGGATTGACTGGCTTGATCTCCTTGCAGTCCAAGGGACTCTCAAGAGTCTTCTCCAACACCACAGTTCAAAAGCATCAGTTCTTTGGAGCTCAGCTTACACCCATACATGACTACTGGAAAAGCCATAGCTTTAACTATATGCACCTTTTTTGGTAAAGTAATGTCTCTGCTTTTTAATATGCTGTCTAGGTTTGTCATATCTTTTCTCCCAAGGAGCAAGCATCTTTTAATTTCATGACTGCAGTCACCATCTGCAGTGTTTTGCGTGCCCAAGAAAATAAAGTCTGTCACTGTTTTCATTGTTTCCCCATCTGTTTGCCCTGAAGTGATGGGACTGAATGCCATGATCTCAGATACTGCATAATCATTATTCACCAAACGTGGGGCAAGAGCGAGAGGCCATGAGGCAAGAGAGCTTGACCACTCCATCTTGGCTAATTTGCTCTTTCCCTAAACGCCACCGCTTCACAGTCTCTCACCTCATAATCCACATGCAATCCATCTCTTGTGATGGTCCCTTGGTGAGTAACACTGATTCTTGAATTTACATCTTGCAACAGCAGTAGATGCTTCAACAACAAACAGTTACATCCCCAACACAAGGCAAAACCTAATGCCAGGTATCACCTGGAACTCATGTTGCAGTCCTTCCCCTCATGGGGCTAGAAGAGCCACCCACTGTGGAGTGCCTTTATCTTCCTTGGCCAAGTCTAGTCCACTGGTTGTCCTTGTAAAATTTCAGGAAAGCCTCCACAGGATCAACTCCACTCCTTCAGGGTTTTTTTAATCAAGGACCTGCAAAAACCCCCTACAAGCGCCAGGCCCACCCCTTCAAGGAGGGGAATTTTGGCATTCACAGGGCACCTTATGATTCCAAATGCTTTCACACTGTTCTAAATCCACAAGAGAATGAGAAGGTAGTAGTACATCACAGGACATAGCCTTTACAGTTCACTGCTCTAATCTACATTATAGAACACAGCTTAAGCCTACATCATACATCGTAGAAGAAAGCCTTTCACATAGGGAACCTTCCAATTTCCAAAGGTAAGGACACAGCCTCTGGCTAGATGTAAACAAGGTTGCCTTCGGCACTGGTGTCAACCAGGGCCATTACTTTCTGTACATTAGCTAGTGACCAGTGAATTACAAGTTCTACATGCGGTCTCTGGTCCCTGACTCTTCAGGAGGGCACCTTGGTCTGAGCCCTATTCAAAGTGGAAAAGGGCATCATCCAAAAGAACATTCTTGGGCGCCGTGTAATCTTTTAACTGAACCACCTGTACCTCTTGCTGTGGACGCTCCCCAAACTTGGTAAACTGCTGTTCTGGTCTCAGTTGCCTCCATAGCTCTGGGAGCAGAGCACTGGGCTGCGTATCAGTTTTATTTATCAATTCCCGCTGCCAACAAATCAGCCCACACTTGCATTCTCATCACCAAGAGGGGGCCTTTACCAGCTCAGGCCCCCTTCAGGGTCTTCACAGTTCTAATCCCCTTTGCCTCCTGCCATCCCTCTGTTTCTTCCAAGCTAGCCACTATCAAGGTCACCTCATAGATGTGGCACCACACATAGGTGACAAGGCTAGCAATCCTGGATTCAAAAGCAATAGATGAGGCATTGTTCAAAATGGCACACTGAATGCTGTCAGTGAAACGCTTGTCATCTGGGCCTCGGGTATTTAGGTTAAATATCAATGCTTTCTCCCCAGTTCTCTCGTCATTTGGGTCAGCTTGGTATAGATATGCCATTTACTCACAGTATCCAGGAGCTCTCCCACGTTTGACCACACAATGTGGGTGACAGCATTAATCCATTCCATGAAGGCATGCGTTTGGTTAGGCCTCCCTTGCATGAGTAGTCTAGCATTCTGCAACCTTTGTCTCAATGAAGGGTAAATGGCTATAGATGCCAACCCTCCAAAATAACTGAAGATCATGACTGCAGCCATGAAATTAAAAGACACTTGCTCCTTGGAAGAAAAGTTAGATCAACCTAGACAGCATAGTAAAAAGCAGAGGCATTACTTTGCCAACAAAGGTCCGTCTAGTCAAAGCTATGGTTTTTCTAGTAGTCATGCCTGGATGTGAGAGTTGGACTATAAAGAAAGCTGAGCGCTGAAGAACTGGTGCTTTTGAACTGTGGTGTTGGAGAAGACTCTTGAGAGTCCCTTGGACTGCAAGGAGATCCAACCAGGTCATCCTAAAGGAAATCAGTTCTGAATATTCATTGGAAGGACTGATGCTGAAGCTGAAACTCCAATATTTTGGCCACCTGATGTGAAGAACTGACTCATTGGAAAAAACCCTGATGCTGGGAAAGATTGAAGGCAGGAGGAGAAGGGATGACAGAAGATGAGATGGTTGGATGGCATCACCAACTCAACAGACATGAGTTTGAGTAAGCTCCAGGAGTTGGTGATGGACAAGGTGGCCTGGAGTGCTGCAGTCCATGGGGTCACAAAGAGTCAGACGTAACTAATCAACTGAACTGAACTGGACTGATTCTATTTCATCCCTAACACATATGATACTGTCCACCCCTGTGTCCCAAAGTCACAAAAGCCATGCTGCTAATGGCCCCCCCCCTGCACCCCCCACCATGCTTTTGCCAAAACTGTTTACCCAAGTCAACCAACTCCACCTGAGTACATGATTGATATGTTGTGAACTCGGTCACATTGGGGGCCCCTTGAAGATGTCCCCCCAGGCCATAGGCTGCTCATGCTTTACTTTCTGCTGTACAACAGGCCTCGCTGCCAAGCAGGTATCTGCAGTCTCACAACGTCCATCATTGTTATCCTTAATCTCATAATGTTCATCATCACTGTCACTCCCTGCCTCACTGTCAGAGATGCTGGGTTCTTCAAGGCCATGGGTTTAGGGCCACAAGCCCCTAACGTCAACATACATTGCTCTAGCTCTTCCAAGCATCTCTGCACCCTGTGCACTGGGGCGGCATTGCATAGGGCATGATCCATATTCCACTTCAGGGCAGTCAGGAAAATCCACTCGATGGGGCCAGCGGCACTGCATGCTGCCTTGTTCAGCAAACAGGAATTCACTGCCTGTAATGCCTTTTCAGTGCTAGCCAGTGACCTGTCCACTGCCTCCCAGTCTTCCACCAGAATCCACGCTGAGAGGATCGTGGCCACATGGTACCATATGCTATAAGGTGGCCACTGGCTTCTTCCATCCATTGGAGCCTCGAGCTCCTCTACCCTGCTGGGTATCCTGCTGACTATACCAATTGTATCACTGTTTCTGTCCATGATGTCAATTTTCTTGCTGTTCACACTGATCGCTGAACCCAAGGGGCAAGCTAAGAGGCTGGAAGAAGATGTGAGGAGCCATAGGAACTGCAGACACATTTATTCTCTCCTGGCTGGCATGGCAGCCATAACATAGCCTCTTTCCTGGCTAAGGCAGCAGCTGCAGCAGCCGCCAGAAATGACCATAATATGGCCATAATGGAACCCCAACATAACCTCACATAAGATAACCATGATGCCACTCCAATATAGTCCCAATGCAGCAGCAGCCAGGGCTTTCATGCTGAAATTCCTACAGGTGTATGGTACAAAGTAGCCTGTGGCCAAGCAAGTACCTCGTGACTGGCATGCACAGTGCTCTAAGTGATCTCAGCTGTTACGTAATTATTATTCACAAAACATGGGGCAAGAGCAACTGGCCATGACGTGTGAGAGCCTGACTGTGCCATCATGGCTAATTTGTTCTTTCCCTACACCTACAGATGTTCATATTTATGTTAACTCTTTGCTAGAAAACATCCAGGATAGAGCGCAAGTTCCTTAACACAACATACACACCATTTTAATCTGTGTTAGTCATTTGGATTTATTTCCAGTATCTCTAACCTCTAATTCCTTTTCTTGGATTTTTCACTCCAGTAAACTCAGAACTGTGGTGGTGGCTCAAAATCTTACTCCTTGACTAATCTTTTTTGCCTTTCCACATTTCATAATCAATCCATCAGCAATTCCAATCAGCTCTAGCATCACATTTTTACTAGAACCAATCACTTCTCACCATTTTACCACTACTGTCCCTACCACTAAGCACCATTCTAGTGCAAATCATTTACATATTGCATGTCTGTTTTGAAAATAGCCACTAGGGCTAGTGGATATTATTCCTCCTGCTTCTCCTTCCCCTGGTCCCTGCTTTGTCCTCACACAGTCTCATCTCTACCCAGCAGTCAGAGTTTTAAAATATAAATGCACATGTCTTTTTCACCCCTGTCATTCTCCAGCTCTTTATTCGTGCTTTGGCTTTCTTCCCAGCACTTATTACCACTTGACAAATACTTATTTTGGATCTGTATTATTTCTTTGGATCTGTATTCTTTCCACTATAATGAAAGCTCCATGAGAACACAGACATTTTTTTTTTTCCTCCCACTTAGAGCATTCTTGGCCTACCATGACCCTCAACTAGTATTTGGTGAAAAAATTAGTAAATGAATGTAGCTCAGGCATCTCAGCTGAAGAAATTTTTGCTGATTGACTTGTGGCTTAACTGTCTTTTCCCTCATCTTCCTTTCGATACAGTGCACATCTCCATTTCTTTATTCTACATTGTTTTCCATAGGTTTAGGTAGATCTCTTCATTAGACTGATCTTTGAGAATGGGAAACTCTCTCTCTCATCTTTTTAATTTCAGAGCTATCATATCACAGTGCCAGTCATGTAAAACACATTCAACATACATTAGAATTGAGTGAATGAGTGCATAGATGAATGGATAAAGGCTTTAAGAAATATTCAAGAAATAAAATATTCAGATCTTCCTTTAATCATGAAGAGCTATAGTTCTTTGAACATAAAATACAAAATGATATAGATATCTGAATCATATATGTATGATCTTGCAACGTATGTAACACTTAATAAAGGCTTTGTTGTTTAACTGTTAATAAAATAATGTATCTTTCAACCATTAAATTTTGTATATTTTCAGAAATCATCTATAGCTGGGTATTTAACGAGTTCCCTTCCTTTGTGGCCGAAGACAGCCGGCGGTTCATTTCCCAGGAGACAGGCAACCTTTATATTTCTAAAGTCCAAACATCAGATGTTGGCAGCTATATTTGTCTGGTGAAAAACACAGTGACGAATGCTCGAGTACTTAGTCCTCCAACACCACTGACTCTGCGTAATGATGGTAAGTTGCCTGACCTGGATCTAATGGTTAGCTACTTCAAATGTGAAAAATTGAGTATCATCTGCAAAAATAGTGAATCACTATGCTGTATATCTGAAATTAACACAGTACTGTAAGAACTGTACTTCTGCATAAAAACACTTTAAAAATGTATTAGTGGTCTTCTAAACACTTAAACCTAGCACAAATAAAATAAAAAGACATTTGCAATATTTAGAAACCCTACACTTCTAGTCTAAGATTTGCATATCTTAGAATAAATTTTCTTACATAGGAAAAGGATCATCTATAGATGAGAACTATTAACCATAGCACTACCCTAGTGCCAGAAAGGGAAAGGGATTCTGAAAAGATGAACTGTAATAAAAACTCCACAGTTCTTTTCTTTGCTCTTTAGGGCCTTTATATAGCATATGTGTATAAATTGTAAGCATTTTACAATGTTCATTTTTCATCACTTTTTCACTTTAGCCACCTTCAATTGAATGTTCAGCCTTTAATACTTCATGGTGTAGTCATAATTGTTATTATTACTTTTCCAATAATAGAAGCAGTTGGAACTTTTTAAGTGCAATTCAGGCAGAAATGATGATTCTATATTTATAGGTATTGCCATATATCCAAAGTATCTTCAAATTTAAATACTTCATTTGTCGTTACAGACATTTTCAGCTAAGCATTGCATTAAAGAAGTAAAGTGCTATATTACAGTTGATATATGATATGTGGCTTGCTCTGTCATGCAATAAAAAATCTATGAAGGTATTATTAAGAAGTGAGCTCGAGAATCCTGATGGATTGTGAAGCTTAAAAGATAATCTGTTTCAATGGTAGTCTTTTATATGCTTAGTTTAGAGTATGTGCTGCAGTGAAGTATGGCCAGTATAACCAGAATTTACATTTAATGCATGTATTTATTAGCAATAATCCTATGATTCTCTCAGGTAGAATGTATAAATGCAGTGTCTATTTCAGAGATGAGGAAGCCAGTTTTAAAGACATGCAGTGAACTACAAAAGGTCACACTTCTAGGTAACGGCATGGAGGAGAGATGAGAAATAAGAAGGAAAATTGGGAGACCAATTTAGAGGCTACCGAAGCTAAGTGAGGAGGGACAGAATGAAGGCAGCAGTAATAACACTGAAGGGTAGAAAACACGCCTGGGATCCCAACAAGGTAGAATTGTCAGAACGTGATGCTTAATTAAACACGGGGCTCTGGAGTAGGAGGAAGCTTTCACCTAGTTCATTGGATGGGTCATGATTCTTTTCATGAAAAGAGATAAGACAGATAAAGGAATAATGAGATGTTTATGGGACATCTATGTGGAAATATGCGGTACCTATACTGATATATAATCTTAATATGCACAAGAAAGAACTGGGCTGGATAAAGAGATGGAAGACTCCTCACTGTGTAGTCCATCACTACAGTTAAAGCTATGACTGTGTGTATAGTAGGCCAAACTCAAAATTATATAAGAATGTCTATAGGGTGAACAAAATGAAGGAAAATACACATGCATTTTAAAAACTTATCTAGTTGGTAGCTTACAAATGAAGTGATTCTCTATAAGCCATTTTCATAAACTTTTGAGTATTTTCTCATTAATTCCTCAAGAATTTGAAATATTGTTTGAATATTTGTTTGAAAATTGTAACATTTTGTTGACCAGACAATAACCAATTCCATTTACACTAATTTATGCAAACTCCTAAAAGATGATGCTATGAAAGTGCTGCACTCAATATGTCAGCAAATTTGGAAAACTCAGCAGCGGCCACAGGACTGAAAAAGGTCAGTTTTCATTCCAATCCCAAAGAAAGGGAATACCAAAGAATACTCAAACTACCACACAATTGCACTCATCTCACATGCTAGTAAAGTAATGCTCAAAATGTTTCAAGCCAGGCTTTAGCAATACATGAACCATGAACTTCCAGATGTTCAAGCTGGATTTAGAAAAGGCAGAGGAACCAGAGATTAAATTGCCAACATCCGCTGGATCATCAAAAAAGTAAGAGTTCCAAAAAAAACCCCATCTATTTCTGCTTTATTGACTATGCCAAAGTCTTTGACTGTGTGGATCACCATAAACTGTGGAAAATTCTGAAAATGATGGGAATACCAGACCACCCTACCTGCCTCTTGAGAAACCTGTATGCAGGTCCGGAAACAACAGTTAGAATTGGACCTGGAACAACAGACTGGTTCCAAACTGGAAAAGGAGTACGTCAAAGCTGTGTATTGTCACCCTACTTATTTAACTTATATGCAGAGTACATCATGAGAAACACTGGGCTGGAGGAAGCACAAGCTGGAATCCAGATTGCTGGGAGAAATATCAATAACCTCAGATATGCAGATGACACCACCCTTATGGCAGAAAGTGAAGAGGAACTAAAAAGCCTCTTGATGAAAGTGAAAGAGGAGAGTGAAAAAGTTGGTTTAAAGCTCAATATTCAGAAAACTAAGATCATGGCATCTGGTTCCATCACTTCATGGCAAATAGATGGGGAAAGAGTGGAAACAGTGGCTGACTTTATTTTTCTGGGCTCCAAAATCACTGCAGATGGTGATTGAAGACATGAAATTCAAAGACGCTTACTCCTTGGAAGGAAAGTCATTACCAAACTAGACAGCATATTAAAAAGCAGAGACATTACTTTGCAAACAAAGGTCCATCTAGTCAAGGCTATGATTTTTCCAGTAGTCATGTATGGATGTGTGAGTTGGACTGTGAAGAAAGCTGAGCACCAAAGAATTGATGCTTTTGAGCTGTGGTGTTGAAGACTCTTGAGAGTCCCTTGGACAGCAAGGAGATCCAACCAGTCTATCCTAAAGGAGATCATTCCTGTGTGTTCATTGGAATGACTGATTTGAAGCTAAAACTCCAATACTTTGGCCACCTGATGCGAAGAGCTGGCTCATTTGAAAAGACCCTGAGGCTGGGAAAGATTGAGGGCAGGAGGAGAAGGGGACAACAGAGGATGAGATGGTTGGATGGCATCAGCGACTCATGGATATGGGTTTGGGTGGACTCTGGGGATTGGTGATGGACAGGGAGGCCTGGCATGCTGGGATTCATGGGGCTGCAAAGAGTCGGACATGACTGAGTGACTTTTTGAGGGCTTTTGGATAAGCCCTTTGGCCACCTCATGCAAAGAGTTGACTCATTGGAAAAGACCCTGATGCTAGGAGGGGTTGAGGGCAGGAAGAGAAGGGGAAGACAGAAGATGAGATGGCTGGATGGCATCACAAACTCAATGGACATGAATTTGAGTAAACTCCGGGAGTTGGTGATGGACAGGGAGGCCTGACATGCTGCAATTCTTGGGGTCACAAAGAGTCGGACACAACTGAGCGACTGAACTGAACTGAATTGAGGTCGTTTAGGCTGTCCTGCCTGTTTTTCACACAACAGCTGTAAACATTACATTGACTTTCACAAGGGAGAGAAGCACATGTGAAGTCAGAATCCAAAACTGATTCCACCCTCACTAATGAATAAAAGCTCGGTGCTCATGATGAGCACTTTTCCATTTCTTTAATTTCGTGGCCCAGCTATAGCACTTAAATTTACCTTCTACTTTCCATTGTCAAGCATTTCTAGAATGATTAGTGTAATTTGTTTGCTGATATTTAAACTCATTTGCCCTTCTGATTCTGTTGCTCTTGTTTGTCAAAACTCCAATCCTAATGGACTCACTATACACTTAATTTGTGACTGCTTTGGATCCTGAAAGCTACTAGAAAGTTACACTCATCAAGCATGCATGATCACCAGCTTCAACATTGTCCCTCAATCCTAGTAAGTTGATGCGGATGGTCAATTTGTAACTCTCCCGAAAGTTCTTGGAATCTTGTCTTCTTTTCTCAAACTGGACAGCCTCCTTCTCTACCCACTGCTTTACAAAACTATTTAAGTGTCAAGTTTATTTTCCTATGAAAGGAAATTCAAATCTAACTACATCTCCGTTTATACTGTTCTTCCCTTATTCTAATTCAGTAGAGATACTCCACTTTCCCTCCTCCTGCTAAAACCAGTTCCTCCTCTTAGACTGTTGATTTTCATTCCCACTGGCCTTTTCAGAGCATACCACTTTGGCCTTTTCAGACGTTGTTTCTTATATAACTAAAATTATGTCCCTAAGTTAAAAAAATATTTTTAGTCATATTGGTTGAATTTACTGAAGCAGTTGAAATTGTTGACTTATTTTACAAACATCTATATTTTAAAAAAAAATCGTGAGGTACTATATAAAAGGCTCAATAAAATTTTAAAATAAAACTCATTTTATTTTTTTTTTCATTTATTTTTATTAGTTGGAGGCTAATTACTTTACAATACTGTAGTGGGTTTTGTCATACATTGACATGAATCAGCCATGGATTTACATGTATTCCCCATCCCGGTCCCCCCTCCCACCTCCCTCTCCACCCGATCCCTCTGGGTCTTCCCAGTGCACCAGGCCCGAGCACTTGTCTCATGCATCCAGCCTGGGCTGGTGATCTGTTTCACTATAGATAATATACATGTTTCGATGCTGTTCTCTCGAAACATCCCACCCTCGCCTTCTCCCACAGAGTCCAAAAGTCTGTTCTGTACATCTGTGTCTCTTTTTCTGTTTTGCATATAGGGTTATCATTACCATATTTCTAAATTCCATTTATGTGTGTTAGTATGCTGTAATGTTCTTTATCTTTCTGGCTTACTTCACTCTGTATAATAGGCTCCAGTTTCATCCATCTCATTAGAAACTGATTCAAATGAATTCTTTTTAATGTCTGAGTAATATTCCATGGTGTATATGTACCACAGCTTCCTTATCCATTCGTCTGCTGATGGGCATCTAGGTTGCTTCCATGTCCTTGCTATTATACAGTGCTGCGATGAACATTGGGGGTGCACGTGTCTCTAAAACTGTTATTTTAAAGTTAACATCTAAGTTAAAAGAAACAGGTGGAAAACACCTGCTAAATTTCAAGTACATCATTCA